ATTTGGTGTTGGCTTTTTCTTTCCTTTTAATAATGGACGTATTATTCCATATTTTCTTTTCGAATCCTCTGCACTGTCTTCAGGTTGTCACCTAAACACGCTGAAATGTTCGTATTGAAGTTTCCGGCGCGAATGCCAATCAGTTACTCATGCCATTTCCAAATTTCTGGCGGAATGAATTGCATCATGGTGATATTTTTTTTTTCACAGAAAGTACCCAACTGAACTTACTGTACTGTGCAGTCGACAAAATCAAAAAAACACCCATCGCGCATGCGCGAAATCAAAAATACAAAATGGCGACAATTTACCCACCGCACCCTATAAATATATATATATATATATATATATATATATATATATTTATGTGTGTGTGTGTGTGCGTAAATTGATAGATCTGGAACTTAGTTTAGGTTGTGTACATGTTTGTGTGTTTTACTCTTCGAATATTATAGCAGGTGTGCGTGTACGTATTCGGCTATCCATTTGGTGTTTGTGCGTAAGGCGTGTTAAGTTAATCTCTACGCAGGTTATTCATTGCCCGAAAGCAAATGTCGATAAATGTCTTGGTAGGTGGGTGGGGAGGCTTGACGGCGGGAGTGAGCTTTTTGGGATATGGCGATATGACGTGTGGGGATGGCAAATAAAAAAAAAATTCGATCGATATCGACCGATAGGTATCGATATCCTCAACTGCTTCGACTTCAAAGAGCATATCGTCACGGAATTACGATTAGGATATAAGGTATCGGATAAAGGTATCAGTCAGCTAGAGGCGACAGAAACAAAACTGGAAAGAGAGAAATGGTCAGAGAAAGGCATAGACTGGTATGTATTGATAAACGAGGCGCAGGAGTTGAATATCAGAGAAGGCGTAAAGGAAAATGTAAGCGAGAAAACTGTATCAAACCTGGGAATATATTGATGGGTGTTTATCGAGGCTGGCTTAGTTTATACGAGGGAAAGACCGACGGAATATTTCCTAGCGCCACTCATTCATTTAATGATGGCTTTACGGTTTTCAAACGGACTTTTTTTTTTTTTTTTTGCTTAGGATGGAATATCGGCTGTTCGCAAATGATGGAGATAAACAAATATCTTATGCATAAAGCTGGCTTGCATGCATACATATATACATACATACTATGCATGTATATGTGTATGTATATATATATACTCATTCGTCGATGGATCTATGTATTACATACGTATATCGAGCAACCCATCTGTACATGGTTTTATCTTTCTTTGTGTCTTCATATCTATCTATATCAGCCTGTTCAAATATATCTATTGATATCAGCCTGTTCATATATGTGTCAGTTTGTTCATATCTATCTATCTATCTATCTATCTATCTATCTATCGATCGAACTATGTCAGTTTGTTCACATCTATTTCAGTTTGTATCTATCTATCTATCTATCTATCGATCGATCGAACTATGTCAGTTTGTTCATACCTTTCTTTCTATATCAGTTTGTTCATATCTATCTATCGGTCTATGTTCATTTCCGTCTATCCCTCTCTATCAGTTTGTTCATTTCTATTTATCTATCTATTTATCTAGCTGTCTGTCTGTCTATCTATCTATCTATCTATGACAGTTTGTTCATATCTATCTATCGGTCTATGTTCATTTCCGTCTATCCCTCTCTATCAGTTTGTTCATTTCTATTTATCTATCTATTTATCTAGCTGTCTGTCTGTCTATCTATCTATCTATCTATCTATGACAGTTTGTTCATATCTATCTATCGGTCTATGTTCATTTCCGTCTATCCCTCTCTATCAGTTTATTCATTTCTATTTATCTATTTATCTAGCTGTCTGTCTGTCTGTCTATCTATCTATGTATGACAGTTTGTTCATATCTATCTATCGGTCGATGTTCATTTCCGTCTATCCCCCTTCTATCAGTTTGTTCATTTCTATTTATCTATCTATTTATCTAGCTGTCTGTCTGTCTATCTATCTATCTATCTATCTATGACAGTTTGTTCATATCTATCTATCGGTCTATGTTCATTTCCGTCTATCCCTCTCTATCAGTTTATTCATTTCTATTTATCTATTTATCTATCTGTCTGTCTGTCTGTCTATCTATCTATGTATGACAGTTTGTTCATATCTATCTATCGGTCGATGTTCATTTCCGTCTATCCCCCTTCTATCAGTTTGTTCATTTCTATTTATCTATCTATTTATCTAGCTGTCTGTCTGTCTATCTATCTATCTATCTATCTATCTATGACAGTTTGTTCATATCTATCTATCGATTTCAGTTTGTAAATGCCTATAGATATAAATGTAATCGACTATTATTTTTCAAACCCTGAATCAAATATTCTCAAGTATAATCACGACGCACTTATAAACGACCTATATTTACACATATGCTCTCAAATAGCAACGACTATTTATCTATAACCTCAAAAGTAGAATCAACCAATATTTGCTTATCCTCCAACCAATACTTCACTGACTCAAATATAATCAACTCACGTTTATTTATCCATGAACCAAGTAAAATACTTATATTAAAACACCGATTTAGACATTCCTTTTTTTTATTCGCCAATTCCGCTAGGGACGTGGGCGATAATGGTCCTCCATAATTTTCTGTCCTTTGTCGTTCTTCGTCAATTTTGTCTTTTTGCTTATCATTGCTAACCCCCAAAATATGCTAACCATTTGCACATCTAGCGCGGCTAGTCATGCACTACTTTCCCTCCCCTTTTCGCCATGTGAATGTCAAACTTTCTAGGGTCTCTTTCCTGTACGTTAGAAATTCCAACCCTTCTCTTCTTGATGCTAAGTATCTTGTCCTTTCCATTTCTTCATCATTGCTCACATATCCATCGTATTGCCAGCATCCATCTGTAGAACCACATCTAGGAGGAAATTTTACATCACGCATGCGCCTATTGGTGGATCGATAATACATAATATTTAAGTACTCTTTAATTTATTGTGACGAATTTTCCCGGTTTCTTACCAAATTAATGTTGTGGAGTGATTTCACAGTGGAGGCTTGTATTTTGTACTATTTTCGGTCCTAAAATAGGTTCGACGTACAAAACGTTAGGAACTTGATATAATAGGTATTACGCAGAGTAATCTAGTTGTGGTCGCTGATACTTTAGTATTCGACTAACGGTCGTACGGCATCGACTGACTGACCGCCTCACTGAGCGACTCCCTCGTTACTCTTACTACTCCTACTTATTATAGGTGGGGGAGTCTATTAACTATAGAATAGACGTGTTCCACTATAACAGTTACTTAACTTTTGGAAGGCATATTTCGCTATCCCAATGTCTGTTCGGACTTCGGCGTCGCGTTTTTGTGTTAAAATGGTTTCTAAGCTATTTAAAATTTTGTACTTGCTTCATTTAGGGATCTTCAAATCATAGTTCATATCTTGGACTCTTCTTTCTGCTATCATAATTTCTGGGTTTGTTTTTTTGTTTTTTTTTTGGGGGGGGGACAATTCATGTTTATTACTTTTCTTATTGCTTTCCTTCATTACTTTTGGAGAAGTTCCTGCAGTTTACTCCCCGTGTCTGCTACCAACACTGCGTCATCTCTATATCGGATGTTGTTAAGATTGTGTCCAACAGTAATGAATCCTTGAACGTCGTCTAATTCTACATGTGTTATATAGGAATAAGATGTCGCTGCCGACACTGGAGTTTGAACCCAGATCACCACTAAACAAACACAGGTGATTCCATTTCTAATAAGTAGACCACGTGATCGTAAAGGAAATGTATATATGGGAATTAGCATGGCGTCTAATTGATCACTATTTTTGATCTATCCTCTATTACTATACTGATTGTCATTCTTTATACTATTCACTATTCTATTTCTCTATCCTGAACACTACACAGATTACTATTCGTTGCCTATTTTCCAAGCGAGAATTATCGAGCAAGTACTATTAGTGTGAGTGTTATTCGAAGGCGTTTGACACCAGTATTGTTCAACGGCGTTACTATAGTTGTATCTGCGATTACAAAGTCTCTACTACAACGGGAATTTTGAAAGTGACAAAGAATATTGGCATTACAAAAGTGGTAACCAGTGTTCGTTGATATAAAAAAAAATATGGATTACTTTACATTGCCTTGTAAATGTTGACTAAGTCTGGTGAGAAGATGCATCTTTGTCTTGACCCCTTACTATTTTTGTCTATTTATTGAATTTATTTTTTACATTCTAAAAATATAAAAAGTACATTGTTTTGAATTCATAATATGAAATTGTTAATCGATAGTAATATAAAAAAGAATACTCCAGATGACGAATTTTAACATTTTTTTAATTTTTTTTTACATCTTAAGACATGAAGTAGTATAAGCATATAGTTTTTTGGCTTCCGTAGAGGGAGCAATTCACAGTGGATTCATATAGTAAAAACTGAACTCCCGTATAACTTTAAGAAAAAGTAATGTTGTGTATGATACACCTAATTTACATAAGGGGAGTACCGACCATATAAATATGGGTTGGTACCGGAAGACGACGGAAGATTAAGAGATCGAATCCAGAGACTCTGCCCGACTGCGACTTAGTCAACCCATTCTGCAGGAACAGTCTTCCCAAGAATATACCAAAACTACCTGTAAATATTGTGTACCTTTTTTCATTGTTTCAATACATTTTTTTACGTACATTTTGTGTTGTATTATTATTATTCCATGCTTATTCAAGCTTCAACAAGGAATAATTTTTTTTATATTCATGATCTGGTTTGTTTAATAAAATCGTAATGTGAAAATTTTTTTTTTTTTTATCGTAATGCCTATTTTATTGCTTCACCCCAAAATAAAAATAAAAACCTGAATTCACATCATAAAATATCACTAAGACTCTTAACCAGCGTATTAAATCTATCTAAATAAATAAACTGAGGACACACTTGTTCTACATAGAATTAATTACGTTAAACCTTTTTGGAATCAGGATGATTCCGGAATTGAAAATCTACCCTTTATCTGGTGTTTGAATATCTATCATTCGAATTTGTTTTCGGATGACGAGGAAACAGTTAAAAATTCAACTTTTAAAATAACTGAAAAAAATTAATGATTTTAAAAGTTTTTTTTTTTTTTTTTTTAAATTTATAATGAGTTTAAAGTAACACAAAAACTTTGTAAATTTAATTTTTTTTAAAATTCATTTTAAAATATCTCCAAAACTTTTTTGAATTGAGGAAATCAATTTTATTTCTTCAAAATTCTCTCAGATTCAAGGATGGACCAGAGGGATGTCCTATAAAAAAAGGAAAAATACAGCTGAAAGATTTATCAGTTCCTCAAGAGCCATTGCTATCACTTCCCGATAGGAACTCAGCTGAATCAAAATACTTCATCCAGTACATCAGAAAAGACAATAACTGTTTTGCAATGATCTCATTTGAAACCAAAGATGCTACCTTGTCAGGATGAAAAACAACTTGCAGAATTCACGGCAATATATATTTTTTTAATTGTTACGAGCAATACATTTTTTTTTTAATTATTACCAGCAATCTTTTTTTTTAAATATTACCAGCAATACATTTTGAAAAAAAAAATTAATACCAGCAATATAATTTTGAAAAAAAAAATATTACCAGCAATACATTTTTAAAAAAGTTACTTACCAGAAATACATTAAAAAAATATTACCAGCAATATATTTTCGAAAACAAATATTACCAGCAATATATGTTTGAAAAAAAATTATTACCAGCAATAAATTAAAAAAAAAGATACTTTATAAAGAATAGATACGAAGGTATTGTAAAAATCTTGTCAGCATTAAATAATCAATTGAGGTTGATATGCCGCAAAATAAAACAAATGCATTGTATTTGAGTAACTGTTTCTGTTCGTACACTGGGAGGAACCTACACACAAGTTTAATATCAGCAAAAAAAAAAACTCAATAAGACAAGATTGAATTATTAATGTCATTAAAATCGTTTTAATTCTCGATGGTGATTTCTTTCTGCACTTACGAAACACAATAAAATGTACATTTAGAATTGTTTCATTATGATACACTTGCCATTATAATGAAGGACGTCTTTCTTAGAGGAATCGATAAAGAGATTCCATTGTTCTTTCTTCTTTTTTCAAATCGGTTTCAGTCCAAGCAATACAGCCACTAACACGCAAGGGGTTACAGGGTGTAAGGAAAGTAGGAACAGAAACATTAGTAATGAGTAGAAAAAGAAAAAAAACATTCTGAAGGGCGGTAGAAAGCGATTGAAATTGAATTTAAACTTTTACAGATTAAAGTTGGCTGGAAAGCATGAAGGGAGTTCCACAAGCGAGAAGTGTGAGAAAAGAAACTGTTAGCATAGAACTTACGGCTAATCAAGTGTAAATTGATGAAATCTCAATGTCTTTTCAGGACGTAGGCGATCATGGCTCTCCACCTCCTCCCTCTATCCCTTGCAGCTTTCAACACGACCCTTCCTTCTGCTTCCATCTCCGAACCACGCCCTGCGATCCACTTACTCAAACCCGCTAGGTATGTCATGCGTTGCTTTCCCTCGTCTCTATTTCCATCTATCCACCCCATGAGTAACAGATTCGCCAGGCCCTCCTTCCTCATTAAATGTCCCAGAAACTTCAGCTGACTCTTCCTGATATTAAATATAAGCCTTCTCCTTGTCTGCAACCTCTCTAAGACGTCATCGTTTCTCACACGTTCGGTCCTTGATATCCTTAGCATTCTTCTGTAGAACCATATTTCTGTCGTTTCGAGTCGCTTCTTCATCTTTGAGGAAATCGTCCAACATTCGATGCCGTAAAGAAGGACAGATGTCATGTAACAGTTCAGTATTCTTTTCTTTGTTACCAAAGAAATCCTTCTGTCTCGCAGTACTATGCTCAACTTTTGGAATGTTTCCTTAGCCATCCCAATACGCCTACGGATCTAAGTCTCGAATTTATTGCCCTCTGTCAAGAGGCTTCCCAGATATCTGCTTGATTCTAGTGTTCTCGGCCTTTACATCGAATTGTGGGCTCATCCTCTTACTGACGTCCACGCACTCTGTCTTCTTGTAGTTTATGTTGAGTCCCTTCTTCTCACTCTCCGTCGCCACCCTCTGTAGGTGATCCTGCAATTTTCCTTCTGTGTCTTGCGCTTAAATTCATAAAGTCTAGGTACCATAACAAAGAGTACCCCCGAACAATTACCATGAAAGTATCTAGGCCAAATTTTACACGTCGATAGGTTCACCTATCGTCCGGTTTCCACACCTCCCTGTTCTTTTGAACAGGAATAAAATACCCCCTGTTTTTTTAAGGATTGGGTTTTCGATTGCAACTAAAGACATTTTACCCCTTTCACTCCCAGTAGCCCGTTGCTTTTTAGGTGAAAGACCACAAATCAGTTCAATAAGGCAAGAATCCACCTTTGTTCAAACGTGTTGCAAAATTTACATTATTAGGACTATTGTCCTCATCTTTATCACCATATCTATTACAACGTTTCGGCCGTTGTACGCTCCGGCTTCGTCAGATGGTTGGAATGTCGAACTGAACGCTTTATTTCTCTCACTGGGTTAGAGTGTTCTAGTTCCACGTGCCATGTTGCAAAATGTTTTTTTCTCTATTTCATTACCAAGAGAAGATTGTTCCTAGCTATATGTTTCTTCCTTTTAATCTAGATCTCTAGACCATCTTCACCTGTAGACCATCTCCACCTCTCGACCATCTTCTAGGAAGATCGATGTCACTGACCAAATAAATAACTTACAGCTAAGAGAATAACTGCGTCCCCTTGCCGGAACGTTTCTGGAAAATTCTTTATCGTTGTTTGTAGGATTTTTCTTTCTATGCGTGGATTTATATTGACAAGATTTAAGACTGAAGGGATTATTCTTCGTCTGAGTGTTGTGTACTTTCAGGACGTGGGCGATCATGGCTCTCTACAACTTCCTATGATGTGTAGTTATAAGCAAATATTGATTCTTTCCCATCTTACTTGTCCATCTTTCGTGCAATATGCCTAAGCCCTCTTTTCTCATTATATGTCGGGAATTTCAACTGCCTCTTTCTGATTCTAAGTACAAGTGTTCTAATTGTTTCCATTTTCCATAAAACTTCCTCGTTGTTCACATACCCCGTCCATAGCATTCTCAGCAAATAACCTCATCGTGTTTGCCTTGAGTTTCTTCGTCATATGTGAGGAAAATGTCCAGCATTCCCTGCCATATACGAGGATTGATATTACACGGTAGTTTAGCACTCTTTCTAATAAAAATCTCTTGTGTCTTAATACTTTTATTTTTCCCTTTCGAAAGGAATATTTCGCTATTCAAATGTGCCTTCGAATTTAGGTGCCCCATTTTTCATCGTCTGTTATAGCACTTCCCAGAGAGATCCATGTATTTGCTTGATTTGGATGTCTCCAATTCGTAATTTACACCTTGGATTGTTCCACAAGCTGACAAACATATATTTTTTTCTTAAATAAATGAGTTAGTCCTTTCTTCTAGCTTTCCTTTACTAGTTTGTCTAAGAGTTTCTGCAGTTTTGTTTCTATGTTTACCATTGATGAAAAGGTTAGATTTGTGTGAAAAATGCCTTATTTTTATGGAGGTTGACGATAAGTGATTCTTTTTTATTCTTTTCTTCGTAACGTTCTATTTTGAAAGAACAAAGATTGCAGACATTACTGTTTTTTCGATCGCCTCATATTATCGAATGTCCAAAAATATTGTCCATTGGTTTTGTTCCTTAATACAAATAAAGCAAACACTGTGATTCCCCCCCTTTTTGCGCAGTATACTCTGGAAACAAAATTTCTCATGGTCTGTAATAAATATTTTATGCAAATATAACAACAGAAGAAAAGTTCTATTCAGATCACCACGAGACGTAATGATATTTGCTAAAATAACTTTTGTTTAAACGTGGATTTAATATTAGAAAGTACTGAATTAAAATATATAATAGAATTAGAATGAGATATATCATTCAATCGTGAGGACTTAACAAAAAGTTACGTGAAGGAAATTTTTTTTAATCAATTCACCGCAAGCAAGTCAATAATGCCACAAGGGGTTGCTAGGAATGAAAGAGAATGAAGAAACATTAGAAGGAACAGGAAAACCAATCCTAAAGAAGAAACAAGGGATAAACATCTACTCCTGTTCAAAAAACAGGGGAGAAGTATGAACTGGGTTATAGGCGAACCTATCGACTCCTATTGAGAAGAAGAAAAATAATCAGGAAATAACTTTTCAGAGATCAAGCGGACATGTTAGAAGTGCAGAGTTGAAATAGACTTCAGAATGAACCGGAAGCCCAATCTTAAACAAGAAACAAGGGATAAAAATCTCTTCCTATTCAAAAAACCGGGGAGGAGTGTGAACCGGGCGATAGGCGTACCGATCTATTCCTAGTTGCTAACTATTTTGGATTCAACACCGAGTCATATTTAATTATCTCATGATAGGTACAAAATTTAATTCATGCAGTAAAAATAAACAGAATTAAAGGGAAGAGATGAAAACTTCAACAAGTGCTTTCAAAAAAATAAATAAATAAATAAAGTAATGAGATAATAAAATGTCGTTAGGAACAAAGAAAAGACATCTAAAATGCGATGTAATGTCAGTCGGCCTATATGGCTGTAAATGTTGAAATAACCTCCTAACATGAATAAAAGACTCGTGACAACAGAAATATGGTTCTGGAAATGTATACTATTGCCGTGAATATGGCGGTTGGTGCTGAAAAATTTCCTCAAGAAGGGACTCAAAGAAACAGGAATGTGATTCAACAATAAGATAGTATGGCCGTGAATATGGCTGTGGATGCTGAACAAATTCTTCAAGAAAGGAACTCGAAGAAAGAGGAATATGATTCTAGAAAAGGATACTATGGCCATGAATATGGCTGTGGATGTTTAATAATTTTCTCAAGAAGGGACTCAAAGAAAGAGAAATGTGGTTCTAGAAACGGATTGTATGGTCTTGAATATGGCTATGGATGCTGAACAATTTCCTCAGGAAAGGGACTCAAAGAAACAGAAATGTGATTCTAGAAAACGATCGTATGGTCTTGAATATGCCTGTGGATGCTGAACAATTTCCTTAAAAAGGGATTCAAAGAAACAGAAATGTCATTCTAGAAAAGTATAATATGGCCGTGAATATGACCGTGGATGCTGAATAATTTCCTCAAGAAGGGACTCAAGGAATCAGAAATGTGGTTCCATGTAACCGATTTTGATAATTATGTAAATGATTACTTTTCAAAGATTCCTTATTTTCCAATTTATGTCGATGAATATAGATTACAAATTATTTGCCGAAAAAAAAACAACTTTTTGGCTAATTGACCATCATCACCGTGCATTTGAACCAGCTCAAGATACTAAACATTCCTCCGAGAACCGTTGTTCAAAACTAGAAGAACCTTATTTTACCAACCGATTCGCCTCATAATTTAACTTAACGAACCTCAGTGAAGCCCAACCCCCTGTCATTCACAGACTGAGGAGAAAACGGTTAAATTCATTGTCTCATATGATGTACAGCAGAAACGTCGATTCCTAATCTGATCAAAATTTAAACAATAATCATTTATTAAATACAAATATTTCTTGAATATTACTCGCTGACTTTTGTCTTAGCAGACTCTGAATTGTGTCACTTTATTCCCTTCACATGTCTTCATTGACATTTAAACTACCTGATGAATATTCAATAACGTTCTCCGATTTAAATGCGTTGAATAAACCAGTGATATCCTTGCACTTGTATATAAACACGTGCAACAAAAAAAATCATTTTATTTGCCTTGATAAAGTCTCTAAACGGCGAACAGTTATATATATATTAAGACATTTTTATGTTTATACATTCTTTTTATAGATACAAATATTTAAGTAAATGCTCTGTTTACATTAAACAGTATTAAACAACATTTACCGGCCTGAATGTTCGAGAAATTTTCATGAAAAATATTCATCCTTCGACAAAAATCGAACCTACGGAACCGTCATTTAGCTTGACGTGCCTTTACCGATTTGGCCACCGAGGAGCGTTCGGTTAGCAAGGTCGAATTTACTGTATTTAAACTTCAATCTTCCATGAATCTCTCACGTACAGTCATATCTGCTCATGCTCTTAACCGAGCTTGCGCAGGAATAGACGTCTCCAACATGTTCCATAAATACTCGATTTCACTCAGACGGCAGAATGCCCCTAAAACAATTTGGGGCAACTTTGGCCCGATTACACGATATGTCCGGTATACGAAAAATGTTTGTGCAAATAGATTTACAAAAGTAAGATTAATATGATACAATGTCGAATACGGGAAAGTTACAACAATCTTTGCAATAGGGTGAACCTAATTGCTTTGAAAATCAGCATTCTAAAATGTTCTTCGTTTTTTTTTTTACCGGTTTTCGAAAAACGATGGCTGTCCCCGGTGGGAAATATATGACTATTTTCAGTGAGCAGGCCTAACATAGAAGACGAAGTGTTTGTTGCTTGATAAAAATTGTCAAAATAAGAAAAAGATAAAACACTTCTGACACGAAGAATCATGTCAGCGACTTTTGCGTGTGGAAAAGGATTTTTTTTGCTTGTTTGATTCGTTCGGTGTCTTCTTTTGGTTCTTGTTGCCAAGCAAGATCAACGATCGATACCAAACAGGATGGCTGCTTTCGATAAGTAGGAGTTTTGAAATAAGGACGAAGAACGGAAGAAATCGGGGGCGGATAGCGGTGGAGGTGGGGAAGAAAGAAAAGTGTCTGATGAAGGAAATGTTTAATCAATGATTTATAAAGAAACAGAAAGAAAGTAGAGGAAGTTAAGTACGAGAAAGAAAGAAAGAAAGAAAGGAAGAAAGAAAGAAAGAAAGAAAGAAAGAAGCAGTTGTAAGAAAGAAAGAAAGAAAGAAAGAAGCAGTTGTAAGAAATAAAGAAAGAAAGAAAGAAGCAGTTGTAAGAAAGAAAGAAAGAAAGAAATAAAGAAAGAAAGAAAGAAAGAAAGAAGCAGTTGTAAGAAAGAAAGAAAGAAAGAAAGAAAGAAAGAAAGAAAGAAAGAAGCAGTTGTAAGAAAGAATGAAAGAAAGAAAGAAAGAAAGAAGCAGTTGTAAGAAAGAAAGAAAGAAAGAAAGAAGCAGTTGTAAGAAAGAAAGAAAGAAAGAAAGAAAGAAAGAAAGAAAGAAAGAAAGAAAGAAAGAAAGAAGCAGTTGTAAGAAAGAAAGCGTTGTCTACGAAATTGTAATCTTTGGAGTACGAGTGAAAGAAAGAAAGAAAGAAAGAAAGAAAGAAAGAAAGAAAGAAAGAAAGAAAGAAAGAAATATGTCTATGAAATTATTTTGAGTACAAATGAATGGAAATTTACGAAATTGTAATCTTTGGAGTAATAGTGAAAGAAAGAAAGAAAGAAAGAAAGAAAGAAAGAAAGAAAGAAAGAAAGAAAGAAATATTTACCTATAAAATCGTTGTCTTCGGAATATGAAAGAAAGAAAGAAAAAAGAAAAAATCACGAAAAAATGAGTTGCAATGAAATTTGTATCTTTGGAAAGAAAGAAAGAATGCCTATTAAAGATAAACAAAAAGAAAATATTAATTTAAAGAAAACTAAAATTCTATATATAAAGACGTGATGATTGTCTTTTGTCTGTCAAATGGCCATAAACGCTTATTTTCTATGAAGACGAGACGAATTGACCTATGAAATAATAGTTTGGCAGAATCTAATCTCTTCCTATGCGATGAAATCATTTTTAGCTAACCTCAGATTCAGAATACATGTTTTAAAAAAAGAGTTACGGTTTCGATCACCAGGTAATCCCTTTGGTAGAAATCCAACAGAATATCGAGATTCTAGTGATCGAGAAAAAGGATAACAAAAATCAAACGCTAGTTATTCAATGTAATTAGTTTTAACTTAGCACAAAAGTAAATGGAAAAAGAAGATTGTGCTGCGCCAAAAATTGAGGCTAGCTTAAAGATTACCACTCTAACAAAAAAATACTGGCACCGATAGTAACACGTCAGCCAGCTTGCAGATAAAAAAATCAAATCTGTCTATATTTCTGAGATGAGGTATTATGTACATTATTTACATTATTCGGACTATTGTCCTCATCTTTGTCGCCATATTTATTACAAGGTTTCGACCGTTGTACACTCAGGCCTTCTTCAGTTGGTTGGAATGTCGAACTGAACCCTTTATTTCGGTCACTGGCGTAGACTGTTCTAGTTCCACGTTCCATATGTCCTTGAGGACATTTGTGTATGAAGGACACATGGCAAAGTGGATAAAGGCGTTGGTTAGATCCAGTGACAGGACCCAAAGAGTGTGAGTTCAATACCCGGTTAAGACAGCGGAGAACTTGGAAAGGGGAATTAACAGGAGATAACTGACATCCATTAAACATGGCACATGGAATTTGAACAGTCTACCCCAGTGAGCGAAATAAAGGGTTCAATGCGATATTCTACCACCTGAAGAAGGCCGCAGCATACAACGGCCGAATCGTTGTAATTATATGGCGACAAAGATGAGGACAATACTCCGAATAATCTAAATAATGTAAAAAAATCAAAATTGGTAATACTAAACAAATTATCTTCTTAACATCAAATGGCATTAACTTTAACAACGGTCATTGAAATGATCGAAATTGACTGTATTGTGACAAATGCCATAGAAGCATGCAGTTAAAATGAAAGAAAATAAGATTAAGCCTTTACTTCCACGTAAATATGCGACTTCAAAGTATAAAATAAATTATTTACGTAGTTTAAGCCGAATAACATTTGATTGATTGATTCATTCGTTTGTTACGGATTATCGACCCTTTGTGCGATATTTATGCCGAAACGCTGCCTTAACCGTTTTTCTAGAATACCAATGACTTTTCCATACACAAGTCCTACTGTTTAATCCATACTTGTGGGGAGAAGATGGAGTCATAGCGTTCCCAGGTGCGCGTAAATGAATGTAACAAAAGAAACTCGACTCGAATTTGAATCCCGCTATTCATTACACAATGCGCACATCCGTGAACGACGTCATTAGTGGTTCGCGAATGTTTGTGCTATTTGTCAATGAACACAGAATCCAACGCAGCTGAATACTTAATTGAAATCATTAGTAAAGAATAATCAACGTTACTTTATTCTGTGTGCAATGTCCTTTCGGAAAATAGGCGGTCATATGTCATTATATCCCAACCAAACAAGGAAAAAGATATTATACAATATAAACAGCAAAAAAATGACTATAAATCCTTGAAGCCAGTACCATAAAATATCACTAAGAATTGGAACCAGCACATTAACATAAAAGAAGACAGAATGCATGGTCATCAGTAAGAAATACGATTTACATATCGGGGACTCTAGAAGCAAACAGTAGCAAAAGTTTAAATATCTGGGAAGCGTCCTGACAGAAGACAGTAAGTGCGACACTGAGATCCATAGACGTATTGGAATGGCCAAGGACACATTCCAAAAGCTGAGCTGAGTATTGCGAGACAGCAGGATTTCTTTGGTAACAAAGAAAAGAATACTGAACTATGACATCTGTTCATCTTTACGGCATCGAATGTTAGACGATTTCCTCAAGGATGAGGAAGAGACTCAAGGTGACAGATGTGGTTCTACAGAAGGATGCTAAGGATATCATAGACCGAGCATGTGAGCAACGATACCTAACATCAGAAAGATGTAGCTGAAGACACATAATGAGAAAAGAGGGCCTGGCGAACCTGATACTCACGGGTCAAATAGAGAGAAAGAGAGACAAGGAAAAGCAGCACGTGACGAGTTTAAGCAAGTGGATAACAGAACGTGCTCTGGGGAGGAAAAAGAGGGAATGGACTTGCTAAGACCTGCAAGGGATAGAGGGAGGTGGAGAGCTATGATCGCCTACGTCCTAAAAAGACATGTCACATAAAAAGAAAAGACACATGCGATCATTCATTTATTCAGTTAGCACATTTTGCGCTTTTCTGATCACTAGTCCTCCTATTTCTTTGTCATTGTGGTTTATGGCAACATTCAAGGCAAAAATGACTTGCCGGTTCCTTTTGCACATGCGATCATGAACCTCCACAGCTTCTTAGTCATTGTAGCTCTTACCAATTTTTGTCACTTTAATATCACTCCAATCCACTAGTTTGACAGGATCTAGGTGAATTGCTCGAAATCATTTGCTCGACAGTAAATTGCTCGAAAAATAATTTCTCGAACTATCAATTGCTCGAAAGGCAGATTGCTCGAAAGGCAGATTGCTCGAAAGGCAGATTGCTCGAAAGGCAGATTGCTCGAAGTAATTTCGAAGCTCGAAGCATCACGTAAACTGAAGTCAACAACAATAAAATTGTATTATTTTATCTTATAGTAAATATTAGAAACAATGTAGTTTTATTTTTTTTTTAACCACAGGTTTCGAGCAATCTACCTTTCGAGCAATCTACCTTTCGAGCAATTGATAGTTCGAGAAATTATTTTTCGAGCAATTTACTGTCGAGCAAATGATTTCGAACAATTTACCAGATAGCATTTTGACATCCAACAAAGAAAAGAGTATTCTGCTGCTATGTGATACCTGTCCTCCTATAAGGCAGTGAATGCACGACAATCCCCTCAAAGATGAAAAGACTTGAAACAACAGAAATGGCTTTCTACAGAAGGATGCTGAGAATAACATGGACAGAATATGTAAGCAATGGCAAAGGTTTAGAGAAATGGAAATAAAAAAGAAACTTATACTATCAGGAAGAGACTATGAATTTTCTAGAGTGCATAATAAGAAAAGAGGGCTTGGAAAATCTGATACTCACAGGGCATATTGAAGGCAAAAGGGACAGAGGAAAATAACGCATATTTAGTGAACTTCAGTGAATGAATGGTTGAACAGGGTTTAGGAGAAATAATAAAAAAACAAAATTTATTAAGAGCTACAAAGAACAAAAAGTGGTGGGAAGCCATGATCATCTAATTTCTGACGGACACGGCACATAAAGAAGGAGTGACCAAAGAATTAAAAAAATAGTGGTTGCATGTGGACTGGGCAACGCATGGCCTCCATATATCGCAGCCTCGGCTTGAGTCCTGGAGATGTCACTCCTGTTTCACGAGCCGGTGAAAGCATTGTGTGGGATTGAAGTTTGAGCAAACATGACGCAAGCATTGTCTCTCTAGATAAACAGATACTTATCTACTAACAAATTAACTCAAATTGTAATTAATATTTTTTTATAATAAATTAAATAATGTCTGGTTTACATATTATTATTATTATTATTATTATTATTATTATTATTTTCCTTGATTTCTGGCGTTTACACATTTCTTTCTGGATCCCGCCCAGGGACCTAAGGTTAGAAATGGCATCATGACACTTTCCACTGACAAAAAAAAAATTACATAGATAAAGCCCTTCGTAAAGTGTGGGCTGTACTTGTTAGAACAATTTTTTATATCTCCTTGAGGCATGGACTTCCAGGAATCCCTTCAATTAGTCTATTATTATTATTATTATTATTATTATTATTATTATTATTATTGTCTGAAAACCATACCACAGGTTGATCTAAACCCTGTGAGTGATTTTGGGTAGACGGAACTATTTGGGAGCCGTCGATGTTTGAGCTGGCTCGAAATCCCAGTGTTCCACCAGTTCTAATCCTCACTGCTAGGACCATCATGCCACGCCCATTCTAGCGAACCATCCTAATCCCCTTCGTATTCCTTTGGTGAAATGTAAGTTCCACTTGAGCAGCTTCTTCCCATAAACCGCTACTTTGTGGAACCGACTCCCAAGAGGGTGCTTTCCCGATCACTACATTCTTAAACTTTTCATATCTTGGGTTAAACGTTCTATTCCCCATATACCTGCATAAACTCTGCATCTCACTTTGTAACCCTCTACCTCGAGTGGCTCCGGGGCCTTGTATCAGGTGAACATCATTGTAAAAAATGCTCAACATAAATTTATAAATGACTGTAAATATTTGGCAAAACAGGGTTTCACTAAGATAAGAAAAAGACAGAATTTACTAAGATCTACAAAGTACAGGAAAGTGTGGAGAGTCATGAGCCCCGATCTCCTAAAGGGACGTGACACATAGGAGAATAAGAGGAAGGTATTATTTTGATATAAAAGCTAGATTATCACGAATGACATTTTTCTTTAAACTCTGACGAAATAAAACCTTTCCTCGTTTTAGCCAAACCAACCCCAGATGTAATTCAGGAGATGGTGTTGTGTAATTCTTTTTCATTTATTTCATAGAACTAAACATTTTAGTGGAATCGGCAGTTGAACGTTTCCTGAAAAATTCCAGAAAGCGTGGCGTGAATATCACGGTTCATTCACGCAAAACAATTATTGATTTTCGAATCACAGGATTCTTCGAAATGTGGCAAGAGACGCTACCCCGGTCCAAACGAAGCCTGGTAGCGAAACAAAAACGTGTAGAAAATGAAAAAAAAAATACAGTAAAACAAAAATACAGTAAGATAAAGAAAACAATAAAAAGCTTTCAAAGAAATTTCATCTCAACGAAGGTGTAAGCTGATTT